TCACCGGTATGACTTCCTGAGGCGAAGGAACCAGAATTATTTGCTTGTTCCGGAAGTCAGCTCACTAATTGAAGCGTGGCAACGAGTCACAATTGAATATACACAACGCTACCTGGAAACACGTGCCAAATAAATCAGAAGGCGGATTGGAATCAAGTTTATTCAATTGGCGATCTCAAGGTATCGAACGAATACCAAGATCGTGCCAAGAAATGGTGCAAGTGAAAGCAGGAGAATGGAGTACGCTCGAACAAAACCAAAAACTGCGAAACAATGATGGAAGGAAATGGAAGCACAAAATGGCTGTTTTATCACAGTAAAACAAAAGCACGTTTAAACAAGCACTGGTATGGTTGGTTATGACAATAATGGTTCTCATTAAACCAACCATGTACTCGTAATAAAAGTGAATCACTACAGTAGTATCCACCTGTCTACACAACAGTGCTTCGAACTTCTGACTGACTAAATGAGTTCCGAATCCTTAAGATAACAAAATACACTTTCCTAAACAATCAATTTGTTCAAATACAAGAAAGAAAACAGCTTGAAATCCTCAGTTATGGAAACCATTTCATACTTACTTGTGTGTATGTAATAGAACCGATACAATTTGTGTTATTCCTATGACCAATTCATCTGTCTACGACATTCAATTGATTAATCAAGCGTTTATCTGTATTTGTAGTCAGATAAAAGTAAGCTATAGAGGAGTGGTGAGTAAAACAAGCAATGCAGGCACATAACTTCATCTAAACACAGACAAGAATGATGAGTGATCAGTTGGCACTGTCATAATATTACTCAAGAAGAGAAAAAAAATTGGCTTGTCTGAAAGCCAGAATGCGTTATGTGTATATAATTGTGCATTACATTTAGTCCATGGGAAACGATATCAATAAAAACAGTGTATATATATAACTATGACCAATACGTAAACAGATTAAAACTGTGATAATACTTATTCTGACGGATATTTAAAATGAGTTGAAATGACAATTTTTTTGTCGTTTTCAACTGATTACACTGAATTGGTATTCAATATTGGAAGATTTAATTGGAAATCGATATTACAAGTGTAAATTTCCTCTCCTTCCTACTCCAAAATAAAGTACAATGACGAATGGATGTTCGTCGCATTCTAACTCATTTATGTCTTAACTCCACTGAAGTCTTTGTTCACACAAACACAAACACAACAAAATCGTCAATATTGTTATTTTTTTATTTTTTGTTTTCGGTCTTCACAAAGTTTCAAGTGTTTGATCATTCATAAATCAAGTAAAATTCTATTGTCAATTTATAATCCATTTGAAATCAATATTGATGTTTTGTGTTGTCAATGGACTTTGTGTTTCATATCCATGAACAAAGTTAACGAAAACTATTACCATTTATAAAAGTTGCAAAAGTGTGAACATGATAGAATCTTATAGTTGTAAACTGTTTCAAATTTTTGTTTTATCATGGTTTCTTGATATTTGGACATATGATTGAGGGTTATCATACTGTGATGATTCAATGCAGTGAACTGACACATCACTTCCGAGATGTCAATCATGATTCTCATGGATTATTAATCAGAGCAACTGTGTGGACGGTTTAAAAGCGAAAGGATTACTGGTTATGACTGTTTTTAATTCAACATGTTGGCTCACAGCTTTCTCACGCCTATTACCTCACTCCTAGGAGCATGATATTCTGTAGAATAGGATATTTAAAACAAAGATTCCACATCTTCCCGAGCTTCTCCATCAAGTATGAGTGTCCTGTTTCCCTGCGTAATTTATTTGGAGATCTTGATTTTTCTCTTCTGTATGTTGAAGCTTATTGATTCAAAGTTTTCTGCTACACAGTACGACTTCATCCTCCTTCGTTGGTGTGTATGGGATAGAAGTACTGTGTCATAAATCAAGTCAAAATAGTTTTGTTGCATGCAAGTTGTCCATTATATACCGTGATTTCTCTCAGATGTTTTTTTAAATGTTTCTCTGAATCATACATCTAGAGAAAGTTCGAAAGGTCCGACTTATTGTGACAATAACTGAATCATGATTTGAAAATCAATATTATCTTGGTTTATATACTTCCTATGTAATTAGAAGTAAAGTTCTGAATATAAGTAGAAGCTGTGATGTTACTTGTGCTACTTGTTTCTTGAAACTATCGTGAAATATAGAAACATCTGAAAGGATGAGAACACGCCATGTCATGCAAGTTAAAATATATTGTATTATTATAAAACATTACAGAAGAGATGTCGAGATTAATTTATTGATTGATATTGATGAGCCCAGAACACCAGTGACCATGAACTTAAAGATGTTTAGTTTTGTATTTTGACAGTATGTTTTTAATTGACATTCAACGGCTCACTCAACAGTTTATTCTACATTGCAATGACTCTCGACGATTTTGTTAACAAAACTGCGTAATGGTAAATAAGTTTGTCATCGATCATCAAACGAGAAATAATCATCCAAATCCAAAGATCTAACACATAAAACATGAAATGTGTATATAGTCAACGGATTTAAGAAGTTTACATTGCCTAAATTTCAGCTGAGAAGTAATATGCATTTATTGTATCGTAGGTGTATGGTATAGGAGTTCATAAAAATGGCACAAGCAAGTGACTGTCAGGACTCAGTAGCTAAGTAAATAACGCGACAGTGTTCGAAGTGAAGGATACTGGGTTTTAGTTCAATAGTGGGCGAGACACTCATCTGACGGGTTCTAAATAGGATGAAACGTACGTCCACAACCCCATTGCCAACCACCATCCATGTTTGCTTATGATGCTTGTTATTGAAGATCACTACTCACAGTTTGTACATATGCCAATAAGAGACTGATCAATTGCAGTCCTTATCATCAATCGGAACGTTCAAGTAATCAGTAGCAAGTGAAATTAATGCTACTTTTGATTCATAAAAATTTTCTCATTTGTAAAGACTTCAATGAAAATAGACCAAATATCACAGTAAATGAACATGAATTTCATGGATTCTCTATGAAGTACTTTGTTATTAATCATTGAAACGAAGCAAGTGTACATAATACTTGACATTAGAAGCGTCTAGAATAAAGTGAGTTCACATTTCACTACAGTTTGTTAAGGTCTATGGAATAATCCATTTGACGTAGTTGTGATGTATTTATATAAGTGTATAGGAATTCTATCACAGTACTGATTGTTCAAACTATATTCATTATCTGAGCGAAAGGAATTTTATGTGTTCATTTGAAATATTCACAAGGTTTAAGGTGTACATCAACTCGTTTGTTTTGTTTGGTCACATAGATTTCTTTTAAAGTTGTACTAACGTATTGATTTCTACGTCGAAAAGTGAACATTTTCTAACGAATTCGTAATTCACAATCATCTACATTGATTACTTCTGCACCATGACATATCAACTATCAGTTTAACTAAGTGATATCTCTCAGCTTTCAACCATCAGAGTAATAGTAAGTTAATTATCAAACTGTTTTTGTGAGTAAACAAGTACATAGCCAATCAAATCAGCCGAGCTATTAGAAGCAGAAAACATCAAAATGTTGATATAAAGCATTTCCATATACAGTCGTTCATCCTACATACAAAGAACGAAAAGGCGAACGAGTAGTTTAGTGGCAACGTCTCCCATTGTGAGGCTTGTAGACACGTAATCGAAATCATCACTTCCCTAAAGAATACAGCTACAGCTTGATGACAACGGCCTACCCACAAGGAACCTATATTTAGGTTTCCTTAAAAACCACATTACATAAAAATGTATGTATTCATGGTGTGGACAATGTGTCGATTTTGACCACAGAAACTAATCATTCTATCAAAGAAAAAAATGCGGGCATCATTATTGTTCTGACATGACTTTGTCCGACGTCAATAGTCTATAGAGACGTCATTCTGTCATTGAACACATTAGAGCAACAAGATCATTTTCACTTTAATGTGCTATCACTCTTTTGTCCCCGATGAACTAACAACGTAAATCAGTCTGTTTTATTTCCAACCGAATCACTTATTCCGTTGTTTTGCACAAAGTTATCTTAACCAAAGTTCAATGAAAAAAGTAACCACTCATAAGTTATTAAAGATGATTCTAAGTAATTGGTGAATCCAGTTATAAATTTTTGTAATTTTACTGGATCAGTTTTACTGAACATCAGAATCATTCGTCGTGAGTTTGTTCATTTCTATCAAATAACGTCAATAAAGCTTGTGTTTAGGTTTGATGATACGTTGTATTATAAGTAGCAAGAAAAATGAGTTCATTCCATCTTACAGGCTAACAACGATACAGAACACTCAACGCAAATAGCTTCAACTAGTTTCTTGCACAAACACCAGAGTAATTCTTATGTATCAGTGCTCCGTTCTACTAGAGTACCGTGAGGGTGAGAGATATGAATGAAATAGATGGTAAATATTTGGAAGGAAATCACTTGTCAGTAGTTTGCTATGAATACATAGATATCCTCATTCCTAATGCACACATTGGGATCATCAGAATAGTTAACAATATGGGAGGCCGATCATGCTTCGATTGTATGACATCCACTTATTAACTGAGCCCAATTAACGAAAAACATTTCATAGTGAAATATTAAGCTTAACGTAAGAAACAACATACTTCTATTTAGAATTACTTTTCTGGATGAATGAATTCGTCAATGTTAATTATATTCACTGGATTTAGTGCAATAACGGTAATGACTTGAAGTCACTGTACGCAATGAGCAGCTAACATGAATCTAATGAAATCAAATTTTAGCCACGTTTAAACTTTATTATTACCTTATTAAAGATAATAAAGCGAACTAGTCAGATGAAATTCCAATTCTGTCCATCAATCCAGACTTGTTGAAATGCAATGAAAACGGAAAGAAATAGGCATGTGAATGAATATGTAAGGGTTTATGTAATCCATGAAATTGATTATCTCCATTACTGTATTGTGAATTCTTACTTATTTTAGTTAAAGTTGGAATTGATGATTGTACAAGGTGAATTTTCAAAGGAGAATGGTTCACAAATCTTGATTGCAGATAGTTCAACGATGATGATGAAATTCATATTTGATGATGTGTCCGCAGTAACGAGTCAGACTAATTCTCTTTGCATGTAAGACTTTTATCATTCTGTTTGACAGATCCAGTATAACTTTGCTTAGATATCAACCTGTTCTCAATGGTTTCATCTTAACGTAAGTATTTTATGTTCAAAATACGTGTATTCACCCGTAAATCATAACCATGGATTTTTTCGTGTATTACTATTACGTATCATTCAATGAACCGAATAAAACACTGTCATAATAAACCTGATCCATGTTTGACACGAATAATATGATGAATATGTCATTGAGTGATGTGTCAGCAGTAATCAGTTAGAATAATTCTATTTGTGTGTAAGATATTTGTCAGTTTAGTAGACAGATTCAGCTTAAATATGCTCAGATATAAAGCTGTTTTCAATGGTTTCATTTCAGCGTAAGTAATATATGTTTAAAATACAGATATCACCCTAAAACAATTACGAAAATTCCCATGTAATACTATTACGTATCATTCAATGAACTGAATAATACACTTTGATGAGAAACATTATCCATGTTTGACAAGAATATTATGATTGAGGAATAGAAAACGAGTCTATTTTTTTCAAGTCACAAACCCTTCTCATTTTGGGTTAAATCACATCATAATAAATGACCGTACTGAAATGCATGAAACAAGTTGCTCAAGACCATCACTCATTACGTATTCCACTCATCGATTGTTTCGACAAGTTCCAAATACGTTCGAAAATATCGAAATGAGGATTTGAGGAATGTGTTCAACCATTTCATGTATACAGATTATGTAGAACGTTTGATGCAAATCACTATGCTCTATCGTATCTTTGAGTTTAGTATGTTGCACATTTCTCTCTTTTTTTATTTCAGAGTGATCGGATTAGTTCTTGGATTAATAATAATAATCGTCAGAAAACTACATTCTACATCTACAAAGAACAGTTTCTTCATGGTTATAACCGTCAGTTGAATGTGGTTTAAATATTACATTCATGATATTTTCATTCAACCATCGATTGAGTTTACTTAGTTATTTTGTTTGTTGAATAGTAAAATGTTGTCATGTTAGTTTCACAACGGCGTTCGAGAGAAAGTATTCTTGACTGGTGACTTGAACAAATGAGTTTCGGTGTTGTATTTTGATATTTCATTATGTTAAGAGATCCAGTTTCTACACTTTCACTGATTTCATGAACATGTTGACGTACATAATTCACATCATTGTTGATCATGTTGTATCATTCACCATCACTTCACTCGTAACTATCGAAAACAATATAGCAATAGAAGGTATCCGTCCATGTTATCCATAGATCAGAAATATGTAGACGTGGAAACACATAGCACCGGTACATTTTACTCTCATCTATGTTTGTTGTCATAACAATTTTCAAGATGTATAACGAGTTCTAAACACAGAAAAACTAAACAAATTGAATTTTTGCGTAACCATCCATACACTTTCTTTATCCTTGAACTCATGTTCTCTGATACACAAGTCATCATTCGAGTTTTGATGTTGCAGTCATCACTGGCTGTTGTGGTCCTTGGTTTATCCGATTTAGTGTAGTTCACACTGTTTAGGTGATAAACCTCATGGAACATGATCATGTGTACTAAGTGAGCGAATTAGGTTTGACGATATTTCGTTCTTTCGTTACTTGTTCAGTTGCTGACCTGTTCAGCGTCTAAACTAATGGTGATTTTACACGACTTTTACCCTATTCAGATAATAATTATGATTGTTGGATTTGCATTACTGATTTCACTTGCAAAATGGTACGAAATAATTGTTTCTTTACCTGCGGACACCTTCTTTGCCAATATAGCCACTTTATGGGGTGAACAGCTACAAGGCTCAAAACGAAAATGGAGGATACTCTTGTTTACGATGTGTTGCGTATTTGCGGTAAATGCATCAATTCTCTTTGTTTTAGGAGTGATATTTGGAAACGTAAGTTGATTTAATAATAGTTTTCCGCAAGTTTTCGTTTCTTAATTCTTGGTCAATCTTGGCGATAAGTATTGAAAGTTCGCCAGTTAGAAGCTAGCGGTTTGGTCAATTGACATCAAACTCGTAAACATCTTTTTCGCTGCATATTGCCAGCAACCACGATATCTCTCATCTGACATGAACAACGGAAGGTTGTAGACTTTTCAGAAACGCACTTGAATCAGATATGCATATTGTAGCTATTGTGCTGTATAAAAACAAACAGAACTGGATAACATGTTGAAATATCCAAATGATAGGGAGAGGTAGCTCGGGTGTTCAAGCAGGCCAAAGCATCATGAAATAATGCTATCATTTAAGAAATTGATTACCAGTGTTATATATTATAATTGTGTATGAATGTCAATTACAAGAAAAACAGAACAATACATCTTCATGCAACAATTTCGCATACGTGAAATCGGTAGCTTGAACGCTTGATGATACAGTGCTTGACGAAACTAATTCGCTGTCTTGACTATTGTGAAGCATAAGACAGAATGTTTACATGGTGTCACAATAAGGAACTGATGAATTGTTACATCGAAAAGTCTAATTTAGCTTAAAGTCCTGAGATTAAGTTAGTAAAGTAATACTGTTTCTTCACTGATGAATATATAGATTCATGATAAATTGAGAAGAATTGTTTTCTTTCTTTTATTTTAGGATGTGTTACACGGTTTAGCATGGATGTTTTGCTGCTGCGTTATGTTTGTTGTAAGTTCTAGTTAAATAATAATACGTAAATACAAATAACTATGCGTCCAAAGATAGAGTTCTGTAGAAATCAGAACAGAATAAAAGCATTACGTGATAAAAGGTAGGACGACCGAAAGGGAGACATTGAGTGGTGAAGTATTTATCGCAAATTTCGTTTCCTTAGTTGAGTGGCCGAGTTTATATGATGCTTTGTTGAGCAGAACATCATTTGTCAATAATTGACAGATCAAAATACAAGGCACTTACTGTTCATTTGTTACGTATGAATGTTCAGAAACTACAAGTTCATAACCCTAGATATGTAAAGACTTATTATTTCACTGATACATATGTTGATATGAATGCATCGATAATGAAGTAATCACTTACTTTTTATAATTACAGGTGATTATATTCACAACATATTATCTGGAGAAATACCGTGAACAAGAACAGTTTTCTGAATTCTACACTACATTCATATGGTTTTATGAATATTTCATGCTTAATGTTTTTTTGCAATTTTCTTTATATTCACTCCTGCGTTGTGATCCCGGCCAAGAGCACAGTCAATGAGATAATGACTAAACATCATGAATAGATGTTGTTCCAAAGAGTGTTTTCACTATTTTTGATTATTGTAAACTAATCTGTTATTCATAATAGATGTTCTGTTGGATTACATTTTTGGATTGTGGATATTCGTTTTAAATGCAACCAGACACTGAAACGCATTTCGATTGTACTTGAAATTACAACAAACAAAACGGACTGAATTTATTTGTTCTACGATCGTATTTCGCGACTACGAATGTGTCGTGACATTGAAAAATTACTTAGATTTAAATGATTGACTTTGTTTGTCTGATACTGTTTTAGCTGGTTGATTTCTATTGTTGTCCAAACAACGTCGGTCACTTTTCTTACATATATAAGTAGACAAAGAAAATTGATTCGCTAATTAAAAGCATATAATTTCTTTCGAAATCAATATTCATTGCTTGTCGTTGTCTGTAATTTTCTATTATCTATACTTTTAATCTGACTTGTCGTCATGACCCTTCCGTTTGATAATTTTACCCATTTCCGTGTTCCGAGTCTGGTAATTGACCTGATTGCCAGCCTTTTGAAAGTCCGTCAATCATTCTTGTTTACGTTTTGTCCAACATGTTGACTTTTACGAAGTCGAACAAGTTTCGTAATCTGTCAACCTCCATTGATATGAGCGATTACTGATCGCGACGTTTGATAGTTATTTGAATTTCATACAGACGAAGACAAAGAGTTTGTAGTTTCATCCATTTTAATGCTGCCTACAGTTATATAATTTGTTGCAATGTGTGAGACTGCATGTTAGATGCGCAGCGCTTATATCGATCGTTCACAGTGACAAGTAAACACGTAATGAACGACCTAGAGTCCTGATTGGCCCTGCTTCGCTGTCTATCCCAGCCAGTTGAGTCCAGAACGCAAGTCACAGCCTCTGAGATATATATTTCAAACACACTCTGTTTATATACTAACCAGGCAGACCACATCGTACGATAAAAATAGAAAACAACATTTACACAATATTAAACAAGTGAAGTAAATATCGACCAATAGGAAATATACATTTAACTTCCGAGGACAACATTCGACTTAACATGATAACTATTGATATATTTTTCTGCACATCCTAACATAATTTATTCTTTTAAACTGACTTCGCCTCTATGTTGTTCGTTTTTAATGTATTTGAATTGCCAGGATTCATTCAAAAGATTTTGTTTGCTTATAAATTGAGCTAATGGAAAATCATTTTCTTTGATAAACGTTACTTTTCCGATTTCATTCATTCACATTTGTACCAGCTATTGAGTTCAAAAACAGTTGTTGCTGGCATTTGCAAAAATCGGTTTTGTCCAAGTACACTCATTTGGTTTTCTTCTTCAGTCAGTCTTCAGTATTCAGGATGGTAAGTTGATGAATCTGTATTAATCCCGACACATTGCTTTCCAGTGAAGGTCCAGCTTCTCCTTGAAAGTATTCACTGATATGGCTGAGACCAATTGTTCGGGTAAAGCGTTACAATCATTGACTACTCTGTGAGAAAAACGGGACTACACTTTAAGTTTATTAGATTGCGGTTTATGAAATTTCTTGCTATGACCTCGTAGATTATTAGTGCTGGAGAGAGCAAAAAGATAAGAAATTTAACACACAAATCATAAGTTAAGATACGAAGTGCCAGTATA